TTTGCATTCATGTCAGAAAAAGAAGTTTATCGTCCTTCAATTCAAATTATAATACTGACATAGTACGTAATACCATGAAATTTATTTTAACCAATTCTGTATCATTCCTCTGTTATTTCTGTGTCATTTCTTTTTTGAAAAGATGAGCTCAAAAAATACTATTTTCCCGAACCAATACTCCCTCTTTGCATGAAAAATACGAAGTCATTGAAATTCGATTAACTTTCCTGGACAAATCTGCTGTGTGAGGTAACTTTTCCGAGATTCTACTGCCCCAATTTTGTGTCTAAATTTCCTTCAAAATGGTTGTAAATTGAGGGCAATATTCAGTTTCCGTTGAGAGTAAAAGTACAAAGGGAAAGCCGTATCAACTGAATTCCTGTAGTTTTGTGTAAACCATGTTTATGGAACATGGAAAAATGTGGTGTGAAATTACTATGCGGGAATTTCAAACGTAAAACCAACTCCTTAATATTGTGAAATGGAATTAACATAAGGAGAATGGTCACGTGACCTGCATAGTGCCATGTCACAAAGCGCTGTTCGCGAAAACATAAAGACACACTGTTTACAAACGTTTTCATAAATCACATCCACCCATAATAGCTCTTGAAGGAGATGCCGCGTGTCGAGTTCAACCAAACTATCCACGTGTCCGTGTCTATGACATAAAATCTATGTCGTTGAAAATTATTGTATTTATCTACGAATGAAATTCGTAAATGCAGGGGGAGCATTTCGTCATGATTCCAAAATGGTAAAGGTCGAAAATGGATTTTAAATTTGTCTAGTGATAACATCAGCTAATTGTGTGTTGAATGATAACATCGGAATTGAATTTGTTCGAAATTCTTATTTTCATTCAAAATGCAACAAGGTACTTATGTAAAAAAAAAACGCAGAAAAATTCAAGTCCTTGATTGTGAGGATTAGAAAAATTATAAAATTTTCATTTCCTTACCGTAATCTGAGCAGATAGATAACCGTATAATTATGATTCAAGCCTTGTTTACAATTACAAATCTGTGTATAAATTGTAGTTTGATAAAATACTTGAGGTGAATGCAATTTTTTGCATGCAAAATAATGCCGGGCTATTCAGTTATGTCAGATTTTGTTCTCGGAAGGTGTTTTGAACATTTTATTTTTTTCGCACCCGATTCGTGCACATAATGTAGGATCGTAGGATACTACGATCCAAATTCGCTATAAATAGATTGCAAATCAGACATTGTATTAATCCTTATGCCTGCTCTTATTCAATAAATATTTTATCAATATCAGTGGTGTACTACTGATTATTCTACATGGGGGGCTCAACGAATGAACTCTACGTAGTTTAAGAAGTCAAAGAAGTTAAAGAAGTCAAAGAAGTCGGAAGAATCCTAAAGAAGTTAGCAAAAAAGAAGTTAAAGAAGAAACCAAAAGAAAAGAAAAGAAATAAAACGAAATCAAAAAAAAAGAATTGAAAGTGCAAATTTTCAAAAAAAAAAAAAACAAAAAAAACAAAATGGAAAAAGGAGCAGTGATCGAACTGATGGAAAGCTGTATGGCACAAGTTATGAAGAGAATCGATGAGAATTTTGAACAGTTTCGTAAGAAGATGACCGAAACTCAAAGGCTAAGTTTCAACGATCTTGAAAAACCAACCGCAGAAAACCAGAAAACGTGTGAAATCGATATCAATAAAGAAACCAGTAAAATGAAAATTGAAGAATCGATGAACATCGAAGTGGATTAATTAGATAGAACTTCTCCTTTGAGCCTCCATGTAGAATAATGAGTAGTACACCACTGATATTAATAAAATATTTATTGAACAAGAGTAGGCATAAGACAGAATACAATGTCTGATTTGCAATCTATTTATTTATAGCTAATTTGGATAAGAGTATCCTACGATCCTACAATAATATCAACGCAACAGAAACTCATGTGCGGAACAGTAATAGAATATGAAGCATTTTTTTCAAAAACAAGAGAAAAACACGAATTATCACTCGGGAATATTAGAATACATCAGTCCGCATAGTGGAAATGTTGCACTTGCGTCTTTGCGTACAAGGAATTTTAACTTAAATTCGTAGTTCTATTGAAAATTTCAAAACCAAAAATATGTTTTCATCGACTGTGGTTCGGATTTGCAATGCACTCGCTGAAGTTAAAAGTTATTTTGCATGGCTTACATAGGCATTTCAGGTGGATGTGAATTTTTATACGCGAGCGGAGGAAGAAACGCATTCCCATTCTTATCCATCAGCTCAGGATAAGCCCACTTTAATAATGATAATCGCACAACCTAGAATATGAAATAGAGTCGTACTAAGCCACCATTTTCCATACTTCTAAACTATACATAGTTTCTAATCTTACCGGGAGAAGACCAACTTTTTATTACATTTTTTTATTCTTAATTTATTGCATTTGAGAAATGAAATAGTCCGAATTATCACAGACTTATTCTACCCAATGCGTTTTGAAGTAAATCAACATTTACCGAAATTACATTCGCTTTCCTATCCCTGAATTGATTCCTATGTTGTATGGTGCGTTTCAAAGATAGCATTTTCTAGTTTCCGGGACCATTCTAATTTTGGTGCCATATGATTAACACGCATTTTTACAGACTTCAATATGGTTCCGTGACTGGTCAAAACATCGAAATTTCAATTTGGGCTATTTTCTATAGAACCTGATGTGATGACGACAGTCGGTGGGTGGTTTTTATGTCTCTTGACTGCAACCCTTCAACGTATACCAGTTTCTACTTCAGTGCATAAATGCTATCGTCAATTGTTCTCAAAGCGCGCGTATGCCGTTCCCAGTTCATAGATACACTTTTTCTCAATCATACATTAGTGCATCATGATGAAGGAAGTACTTATAACACACTAAGAAATTTTTCTACGCAGCAAGGTGGAAATCTCAGCATTCAATATTCTCTCGTTCGTCAACTAGTACGACAACAAAATTAATCCTTTAACGTTAACAACATTATTTGTAACTATCCCCTAGGTTTTGACACACCCACATTACCATAGCAACAAAACTGTTCTCGTTTTGTAAATCGGATAGGAAAATCAATATCTTATAGATATATATATTCATATTTTTTTCTTCACCTATGCTGTCCACAAGATTATCTCCTCTTTAGAGTTACGATAAAAACTTCTATATTTACACTAACCGGAGGCTCACTTCATCTTTGCATTAAACATCATATGAGGAAAAAAATCGTCGAAATGCATGATGGCATCGTATTTTCTCTCAAACTTTGTATTACGTTTTATGAAAATTATGCAATGTCGACAAGATGAGACCAAAGTATAAGACATACAATGCCATTAGGATATCACTGTCAAATATGTTTTTCCTATATGTGTTCCGATAGAACCAAACATTTTTGAAGATCAGAACCCTTTGTATTTTTATTCAAGTTGACACTCTTCTTTCGAATCACTTAACTTGCAGCCTGATTGAAGCTATCGAAATCTAACTGTAAGTGTTAACATAAAGCTGTATACAATGTTCACGAAAAGAATTTCATCCAATTCAATAGTCACCGCCCCAAATATATACCATAGACATTTTTTCGGAATATGCTAGCTCGATATGGTTCCCTCTAAACCAAATTTTGCTCTGTATGTGTCATAGCACGTGGTCGCCTCAAACTCTCTACTTGAAATGAATCGTTCAAATAGAATTTCAAAGATTGTTTACGATTTCTATCAATTGACGTGACGTATGTCACGTGTACGTATTTTTCACTTCATGTATTTATGCAGCTTGTATGTACGTACAAGGGCTGAACCGAATGTATATTTTTACTATTAATTTGTTTTTCAATAATCAAACGCGTGCATCCATAACCCTCGGATATAATCGTAATGACAATGATGAGTGGTTTTTATGGTTAATTTGGTGGTAAATTATATTAGCGTACAACGTGACCTAAGTGTTGAAACATATGTTCTCACATAAATCATTTAAATAGGACTTAAGTTTGAAAAGAAATCGTTTTCTTGAAAGTTTGATTCGAACTACTTTGAAATATATCTTTTATATTAATCGAATTTTTCATAAACATACACAACAACGTATTACATTTCAATTCATTAAACGGTGCCAACAAACATGAAATCGAAATTAAGTAACAACAGCTAATTTTTTATTTTCTTTAATTTTATCACCGCCACTGATTGAAAACTCAATATCTGAATTGGGACATTTCTATGGGTGAGATTGAGATTAAATCATGTTTTTAGGACTCATTTTGTAATAAAGTAGAATATTATTTAGTCGTGGTCTTCTGCGTTTCACATTTTAGTGGTGAGAAATACCGAATTGGTGATTGGAGAAATTGATGGTCCTGTCATATTCTCAAAATCTTCATCTTTTGATTGAAAACATATTCTACTTTTTCGAATACAAATTCAGTCAAAACATACATTATTTTCAATATCAATCTATATATCAATATATAACCATTCCTATAGAAATAGATCAGTAGTTGTGCATTGCCAGTACTTGTGTGGTACAATGTACAAATTTGTATAGCATTTCCTCTCCGGTTCAAGTATTGTAATCCATTTTTCCAATTCTAATTGGCCATCAGCCAATTTTCCGGTCTTATGACCACGCCCCTAGATTTGTAAAAAGAGGGTTGTCGCTCCGTATATAATATGTCTCATAAATGCTGCTGCTTAGCAACAAGCTCCGACATTCTGTTCAATCCATTTCATTCTGTATTCAGCAACGATTGTAAACGGTTCGCAAATACAATATTTGTTGTATAGATTTAAATTGATTGAAAATTGGTACATTTTTGGAATTAAATAAAAAATCGTCGGACACTACAAGTACAATGGAAAGAATTGGTCGAAACCATCAGCCAGATTCATCATCATCATCTCCACCAACCAGGTAATGAAATTATTTTCATAAAAACTAGTGCAAATATATAGTGAAATCATGGCAAATGTTTAATTGTAAAAAAGGCTACAGCTTTATCGTTAATTTCTTCTAAAATTATTTATGCGGATAAAGTCATTTGGATGATAAATTGTACATCATACAAATGAAATTCATAAAAAAAAACTCAGATCAATTCATATTTTTGAGTTCAACCCTCATAATTTATGCCAAAGAAATGGTATTTAGTCGAGTATTTGACATTGTAAAATTGAAAACTTCCACAAAAAATATAAACTTATTCATACCAGTATTTAACTCATTGTTCTACGCATATGTTTAAATGAATTATTTTTAGAACCCTCCGATTTTTTTCTTGCTTTGCCTATCGAACTTGACTGTAACATTTACATAAGATAAGGCTATAAATTGCATTTTGGAAACATCAGTTCATTATTTTTTTTTTGATGTTTTCTTTGGAATTATCGTAAATATTGTGTTCAATGTTGGTAGCTTTGGCTGAAAACCAGGAGCATTACAGTTTTTCACGGGACCAGTAATGGGAATATAAAATAATTATGTTTCGGCGTTGCGCTTGTGCTGGTACAGTACAGATTTTTTTGAAAAAGCAAGCTGAAATAGGTATCAGGTGTCGTACTGATGTCTCATATTTTTCCGTTAATTTGATTTCATGAGTGCTCTAATGCAGCGTTAATTATTGCTAATTTCAGAAAAAATGTGAACTTAAACGTGTTTAGTTTCTTCTCTAAAGCCAAGAAAATCATCATAATGATAATAATTATTATAAATGTACACGCGAAATGTTTTCGGTATTTTTATAACAATTGTCATGTACAATAGCCGAACACTGGTCAATAATGAACAAACTGTATTGAAGGATGTCATAAACGTTACTATAATGTACAAGGATCTTAATCGTTGTATTTTAACTGCCTGAATTTTAACTTTACTACTACGATTTTATTTTTTATGCACAGTGCACAGTGCACAGTGCACACCCCGATTAAGTGATGGCTGAATATTATTGCAGGATAAATACTTTAATCGGAAACCTGAAAATACCTGATCTTTTCAATATGTTAATTTCACAGTACAACAGTATAAACATTGGCGTAAAATACGAACACCCCATGTCTGTTATTATGAAATTTACAATGAGACCGAGACGACAAAATATATTATACTAGCTGCCTCTTTGCTCGGCTTCGGTGGCAAGGTCGCTTCGCGACGATATTCAAATCAATTGATATTCACATACGGCGGCGTGCAAAGGAAATTTGCCGCCCGAAGCAAATTGCGCCCCAACATCAAAATTTGGAGAGCAAAAAAAAGGTCATCACTTTCAAAACTTAATTCTATCTAGTGCAAACTCCAATTTTACCAATTTTGCCGCCCTCAAAAAAATGCCACCCGAAACAATTGCTTCGCCAGCGTCGTGCTTTGCACGCTACCGTTCACATAATATACTCAAATTCTCAACGAGAGAGCTACTTATTGACTCTACAATTTTAGGATCGACAACGATTCAAAATGCTTTATTTTCTTAATTCAGTCATCCGAATACTACGAGCAAATACTCCAATGAAAAATCCGGAACGCATCGCTTAGAGTAAATGTCAATTTTTTCCAACCTATGCTTTTGGCCGGCGCAAGATAGCGGTGGCTAAATAAGATGTATTATTAATTTGCGGCATTTTTAAGAACTATCAATACTTTTTGTTGTTGTCACGAATTTCGCAACAACAAGAAGTATTGATAGTTCCTAAACTTGCCGCAGATTCTATTTAGGCGCCACCGCCATTCACTGTCACGTCAAATACATTGGTTCTTATGGCAGAGAAGCACACGTTGATTTTTTCTTTCCTTCCAAACTAATTTAAAGCGATGAAGAAGAGGATTCACATTTTTCAAATTTAGTTTCATCAGTCAAAGAAATTTTACATTCATGTTTAACTTTTTCGTACATCTTGTTTGGTAATCTGATTTAACCGTTTGTAAAATGATAAACTCCATCATTGGTAAAAGCCTACGTATTCAGTTGGTATCATTCTGATGAAAGTGTTTCTTAAATTGTCTGGTGTTCGAAGTTTTCTTCTACTGTTTCTGTGAAGATGTGTTGCTCTAACATTTTTAATTTGACAAAAACTAAAATTTGAAACTAAATTCCTGTTCTCGTTTAATTTTTTCATAATCGATTGCATCGACTATTCAACAATAGAATTTGTTTTCATTTTATTTTAATTCAACATATTCCGGGTGATTCAATAAAACGTTTTGTAATACACACATACGAAATCCGTTTCTGCTAGCGAAACATGTGAATAATTACCATAATTTATTGAAGCGATTATTATTAAATGCTTCCGATTTCCAATTTTGAATCTTTTATTTCTTGAATAACTAATGGGTAGGCGATCAAGTCGAGGGGGAAATCACTCCTTGAATTACTTTTCGAAACTATCAAATTACTTTTTGGCACGATATTACTTTAGTAAATTACGAAAGTAATTAGACGTTTATGTCAAAGTTTGACATTGTCAAACTAACAAACAAACGTTTTAAATAAACCACTACACTCATATCGAAAAATAGAATTTGAAATGGAAAACAATTTCTGGTTCGTTCTTGAAAACGATATTGGTTTTGAATAATGCTACCAATTAAACTGATTTTTTCAGTATTATACTGACTCCTGGCCAATTTTTGGCCAGAAAAATCAATATACTGAATTCAGTATCTATACTGATTTTTTGACCTGCGTACTGATTTATACTGATTTTCACATTTCATCAAATTTTGTTCGAAATTTCGACGATTTACAGAAAAAAATCGATTTTTTAAAAATATAAATTGTAGTATAAAGTATATAAATGGAACGTAAAGAAACTATTTGCAGAATCTAAGTGGTACAGATTTTCGAGCCCTTTAAAGGTTTGCAATTTAATTAAATATGTGTTATTTTTTCCATGAACGCTAATTTTGAGACATTACGCAAAGCAAATATTCAAACAAGATGTGCAAGAATTTAAGTTCTGCTCTTCTTTGATCAAATCAAAACCTTGAAGTCAATTTTAATTGATCAATCTAATATGAAATTCATATGCACCGAATTATGCCGTCATTGGATAACTCGCGTTTTGAATAAAACATCTACCCAAGAAAAATACAATCCCAAAAAATCAAAACCAAAGCCAAAGCAAAGTCCCGGTGAATTGTAAAATGATTTCGATGATCCCGAATAGCTAAGATCATCAGTTTAAGGAGCTTTTGAACTATTTGTTAATAAAATGTTTCTATTTCATCTGAATTTAACTTGGATTTAAGTATTTTTTGGCCTATATTGATTTTTATACTGTTTTTTTTTAAAAAGATGGTAAGGTACTACTGATTTTTCGCGAAAATGAGTTGGTAGCATTAGTTTTGAAATACCAAAAGATATAAAATTGAGCTTGAAGTAAGTTTCAGTTGAGTATTTCTACGGGATCCCGCAAAAATAATGCGTTTCAGCATTCAATTGTGCATGCACTGCAGTGAATACTGGAGGACTTTACTTCAAGAACTTGATAGAACATAGTTTTTTTTTCAAAATCCATTGTTTTACGATGCATTAAATGAATATTTAGTATCGCATTAAGAGGTCAGGTGCGTGATCACAGTATTGAGGTGCTTTGAGTTTGGGTCTCTTTTCTTTACATAATTTACCGAAACTCCGTGAAATTGACATCTGTATTCAAGTTTTTTCATTTGATTGATGTAGCTCTGGCATTTTTACAGAAAAATATTAGTGCTTTGTCATGAAGATCTGTGGTCTGCTTCGACAATCCATGTTTTAGTGAAGTGAACAAATCAGAAATTGAACGACCGTTTCAAAGACGACGAAAGTGTTCAAATTCACATAACTATAGTTACATGGCAATTGCACAAATATATTTGTGCAATTGCCACAAAACTTGTTTTTGTCGCTAAAATACTTATCATTGGCCAATTTGAAGCCAATTATATATAAAAAAGGGTATCTCCCGCACAAAATTATTGAATTCCCTTAGAAAATGAACCAATTTTGTTGGAATAAAGCAATGGGCCTGAGTGAAGAAATTCAGCTCAAACAAGGCCATATGAGTGGTATTTCGCCAGTTCTGATTTGCATTGAGCCTTAGAAATCATTCAATGTTTTTAGAAGTGATTTTGCTCGATTCCACTTAAGTACTTAAAATGTAACTTTAATGTTCATCAAGTGTAAAATCAATTAGAAAAACTTGAAAGTGAGTCATATTGTAAAGCTTTATCAGAACTGAGAAATTTGTCTCTCTCCAAAATCGCAATCAATTTCAGAAAAACTTGTCCAAAATTGAATTTGTCCAAAACGCACCGTGCTATTACCGCAATTATTGTTAGGAGTGTGCGCGCACAGCCGCCTTATCCGATATTCAAACTAATTCCCGTCACAATACATGGAAACGAACGAATACAAGTGTGTCTGCGGATCTTTTTCAACACTACTAACACCATTATATCTTAGCATTATGCGCTTCAAACACATTATGATCAATAAATTAAAAAACTTTTGCAACAAAATTCTTGCTATCCTTTAAAACTCCGATAGATCCTTGAAATTCTTGACTTCATAATAAACATTCTTTGAAGCATTTAAAAATCTTCGCGGGTGGAACTTATTTTGCTACTTTACCAGTGCTCCATTAAAAAAATTCAATGTATTTCCGATAGAAGTCGAAAAAAAAGTTCAATAAAATTTACGGTAGGAAAGTGTCACTAGCACAGCACATGTCTACCCCTATATTTATTTCCAAACAGTTCATTGTTTGCAAGTGACAGAGTGCAAACGCCCCCTCTAGAGCGTGAATGACGGATCTGGTTTTTAAGTTTGGAAAGGTTTTGTAATCCATTTCTCATTGTTTTGTTCTACATATTATAAATCTGCATTGAAAAACAGTTCGAAATTTCTACGAATTTTTTTTTCTGCAAAATTACAA